AAAATCATTACTGAATATGCCGAATATGACGGGTTATTTATATGTTGTGCTTTCTGAAGAGAGGTTATGTTCAAAGTTATAAATTACGCAAAACTGAGGAGAATTACGGGAAATCATCACCACGCCTGAGTTGTGTGTAATTACAGTGAATATAATTATTTATTATCTCTCTCATTTTTTAAATTCAACAAATTTATATATGTAATTTACAGAATGGATAAGAAAAAGTGGATTCTATATTTGAAACTCAATTAAGTGTATTTGAGACAAGAACCCAATCTAATTATCATCAACACATACAAGTTACAGCTTAGACCTCCAGTAATGCCATCTCAGAAGCAGATTTTACATCACATCAGAGCCAAAGATTGAAAACAAGCCTCATGACGTTTAGGCAACACGTACAACTGAGTGCTAAGTTAACATCTTGTATAAAAACCTACATAATGTCAAAAAAAATCGGCATACTGTCACTTTTCAAAATACGTGATACCTGTGCCGATCCAGCTATTTCTTTAATACAAGAGAAACTATCAAAGTAGTGTGGAGCTAATTTTGTCTGTGTAGTACACATTTTTGTTTTAGGTGTGTTCATTTTCATCATATTCATTTGCAAAAGGAAGATAATCCGAGAGTTACTGCGGAAGTTTCATTTCCGTGACAGATCAAGCTCGACGAGAACTAGTTATTCCACAACGAGAATGAGTACTTTAAGCACAACGTCAAGAAATAGCAAAACAGCAATAAGTAGAAGATCGACATAATATTTACGGTTTGGACACTGTACTTGTGTAAGTGATCTGTCTCAGGAAAGTCTTGTCTACAATTTTTTCATTTGCTGTCACATGTTAATGTATGTACCTGATACTTGTCAAATTGTAAATTACCTGCAGCTTACAGAATGTCAAAAAACCGGCATAATGTCGGTTTTCAAGTTACAAATAGTACCCCTTCCGGAATCTAATAAAAACTTTTTTCATCTACATTATTAGTTACTAGGGTGACTAGTAGGTTCTAGCTGTCATCTTCTATCGCAGTAAGAAGAAAGAAAACAAGTTTAGTCCTTTCACTGAAACAAGGCAGTTACGTCATATTTAGTAAATTTGGATGCCAACCCCAGTGCAAAATAGATCCTAAATTGATACGTATTCTTTGAATTTCCCGGGCTCATTTATGTTGGTAGATTATGTTACGCCAACGGCTGTTGTTTATTTGTGGTTTATTTCCTAGGATCTAGTAGTTTTAAGTAATGTGGCAACCATGTGCGTTACTGCCATCATTTAACGTTGTGACGTAACTGCTTTGATTAAGTGAATATACTGTACATGTTTGTCAGACCACCAAGATGTTCCACTTTTTTCTATGTCATTTAAAAGTATAATAAAAAATATGCTTACATCTATTCGAGCCACTTAAATTCACTAAAAAGATGATTTTCTATTCAGCAAGTATAGGTGAACTCTAATGTCTAGTGGGTAGTTCGGAAGGCAGTATAAAGTTAATAAACGAAAATATTGCTGGTACTTTCAGTGGAACTTTCAATAAAAGAAAGTCAAAAAGGCTGTAAAGAAATGCCATTTTTGACTAAGCTTCTTCTAATGTATGGGCGCACGTAAAATACATAACATACATACATAACATTGTATACGCATATACAATAGAAAATACTAGTTCAGTTAGGATGTTTTTCTACATGCAATGCCTATAAAAGTGATTTTTAAATAATTAGAGAAAGTATATGAATATTTATTATTTGTATATACCAAACCAGTGAACATTATGCAAAATGACATCATTATTCGGTCACTTTTGGTCGGAAATGTTTAAAAAAATCGGTAGCAATGAACGCTTCAAATTAGCACATTGCTGGATCTTGGTATAAATTGACTTGCTGACCTGAACTGTGATACGTGCCTAACCTCCAGCCTCCTTCCTAGACAGATTCCTTAAGGGCGATTGCAGTACTTTTCTGCCATCTGTCGCGCGCGCTGTGTATATAGCCGCTTTAGCTTTTTTTTCTAGGAAAAATGTTCAGTTTAAATTACTACAATCAAATCCTAGATCCTAAGGTATCCGCTAACGCTGGCAACGACGTTTGCTACATCTACAACATGAAGTTAGTGGCGAAGTGAGGTCGCCTAACCGGTTTCACGAGAAAGTGCTTAAAATGACAAGTAACAAATGTTACTGTCAGTTAGATTTAGATACCAAAATATTCGTGGTTATGTTAACGTAAATCAAATTCAAGCGGATAACCAAATGAAAATGGTATTTACGATTTTGGGTTGGTATTTACCGATCCGTTCAAGCGAGTGTGGTTATCAGTTTGGTTATAAGATCCGTGACATCATGAATCAACTGTTTATGTCATAGTTATCACCACAAAATTGTGGTATTTACCCAACTCAGGAGTAGTTTTATATTTCGGGTTATTATTTGAAATGTGACAAGTTAGAATTTTGCCGGGTATTGGATATTGTTATTGTACTTCAACTTCATTTTTGAGAAAAATAATACAGGCTGACTTCAGTTTTACCATAAAGTGGAGCACCTTATTAGTTATACTCATTACGGTTGTTGGGGACACTTTAAATGTAGTTCCTATGCTTAACAAAGTATCCTGTGTAGCCATATACCACAAGAATATTAAAATATGGCCATATAAACTCACTAGATGATATCCACCTGTATACGGTTTTGCTAATTTCTTTTTTCATCATTTCTGCTGAATCAATAATTGTTTTCTTTGACATGCGGAAAAATTTAGAGAATTGAAAGTTATCATAGCTACAAAGCCATGGTTCCATCATTAAAAAAAAATCTGAAAAAACATTTCTTCCATGAATATTATGAAAGGTTTCTTATTTAATATTTCCATACACCGTTGTAGACGAAAAAGCACCGATTATTAAGTGATAATAAAAATAATCAGAGATTATGTACACGCTTCTATAAAATAAACAACAAAACCGCGGTTAAAACCAACGCGTTCAAGCGTTTCGTGTAACTGACGTCATCAACCCATGTGTCATCTTGAACCATATTATAACCGCGGCACATAACACAGGAATTTTGGTTATTCGATTGAATTTGATTGTAAACACAGACAGGAAAATATCACATTTTTTCGCCGATTTAGGAGATTATTAAACAGTTGTGAGTGAAATAATCAGAAAAAATGGGCGAGCGCGAAGCCACAAACAAATACTACCCCCGGACTAATCATTGCCAATGAACGCTTCAAATTAGCACATTGCTGGAACTTGGTATAAAAATTGACTTATCGACGTGAACTGTGAGACGTGCATAACCCTCCCCCCTCATCCTTGAAGGTGATTGCAGTACTTTTCTGCCATCTGTATTTTCCACTATTTACAAAGCCGACATGATACCTCGCCTGGAGTGCTGTCTGTGTAATTGTTTCAACTTTGTTTTCTAGGAAAAATGTTCAGTTTAAAGTAATACAATCAAATCCTGGATCCCAAGGTAAACCGCTAGCGCTGGCAACACCGCTTGCTACATATACAACATGAAGTTAGTGGCGAAGTGAGGTCGCCTAACCGGTTTCGCGAGAAAGTGCCTAAAAAGCCAAGTAACAAATGTCACTGTCGGTTAGATACCAAAATATTCGTGGTTATGTTGACATAAACACAGACGTAGGAAAAATATCTCTTTTTTTCGCGGTTTGAGATTATTGAATGGTACTGAGTGAAATAATCAGGAAAAATGGGCCAGCGCAAAGGCACAAACATACTACCCCCGACTACGACCCAAAGGCCGGGGCCTCAAAAAATTTCTTGGCACACATGTCCTAAGAGAAACAGCTAGAAAAACCACCAAGCAATCATATTTATTCGATTTGTAATGCCCTACAATATTTGGTGTGAGGTACTTTACCACCCCCGTTTATCAGTTCAAGATGAAGTGTCATCTTTGAACTTGTTCACCAAAATGAACTATAAACTATAAAGCATACTTCTAAAACCGGTCCCAGACGATGTGGCGAATGCCTTACAAAATTGGACGGATTACATGTGGCCAGCGTTCGCCACATGGCAGGTTCTTTCTCTTGTCGGTAAATTTGAAACCCGTCAAAGGATGTTAAAACGTTGGAAGCATAGTTCGTTACGCTCCCAGACGAGATGTCATGTGATTGATGATTTTAGGTTAGAACCAGTAGCGGTGTTTTCACCGCTACTAATGTTTTTACATTATTTATTTGTTTGCTGTTGATTGAATGGTATGTGGGAAGTATTTTGATTTGAATACCTACCTATTCATACTAATGTATGTTCCGTAACTAACTTTTGTGGCGAATGAATTAAATACTATACATACAAAGCATAGGCTGCCATAACAACACTTTTTTCATATTTCTAATATTTTGTATGTTTCGCAGGTGAGTTATGGCTGGTTTAAGGATATGTATTTTAGTAAATTATCAAGTGCTTACAGTTGTTTCATTATAATGTCCTCTTGCAATACAAGACTAGTTGAGAAATATATTGACTTGCATTTCATAACTTACGAAAACGATTAAATAAATATTATAACTCTGAAAGTACTATTCGGATTTTGAATTAATTTTGACCCTAGGTTACTACTATGAAAATGACAAAAAGCTTTGCAGTTTTTGAAAATAGGTACAGTGGCAGCGGAGTTATCGTCGAAAAACAAACAAAAAAATCTCAAACTTTGTTTTTCGACATTTAGAAGGCTGCTGACAGACTTTAGTTTTGGTCGCTGAGGACATATCTGAAATTATTTTTCATAGCTCAAAAAAATGTTTCATCGTTCATTTTGTATAATTTTTCCTTCAGTTGTAAAAGTTCAAGCACGACACTGTCACCGATAGTAACGTTGGCGCCACCATACGTCGAACGTCCGAAACTAAAAAGTTCATCCCATCATGTAGGAGACACACTTGCCAATTGTAGGGTGTCGAAGAAGGAATTAAATAAAAACACTGTTAATTAAAATCATAAAATTTTAATAAAATGCATCAACAATATTCAGTACACTCCACCAAAAGGTAGGTGGCCATTTTAGACTTTCATACATGTTTATTAAGAAATACTCATCATGAAATACCGTCTGTTTCACATCTTGCACTTACACACCTAACAAAACAGAAACACATTAAAAGCAACAAAAAACTTATAAAAACCAAGGGCGGACCTGTAGAAAACAGCAAATAGAACAGAGATTGCAAAAAATATGTAAAAAATATGTCAATTTTAATGTCAAAACTTTTAGTTATGTGATAATTAATCGCGTCATTTGGCATAAAAAGTATGCTATGATTTTTCAATCGTCTAAAAAATGATCCCTTGGTCATAAATGTACGATCCTGTAGAAAAGCCTATTGGCCAACGAAGACTTTTGGCTACATACACTTGAAATGATTTTATAGTTTTTCCAGTACTGTGTGCCTAATATTATCATATACACATTTATAAACCCTCAACCATAAAAACCTTCAAGATCCGCCCTTGCATCGTAATTTCATCTTCATACTTCGGCCATTTTCTTCTTCAAATTCTCGGCTAATTTGTCCATAAACTCGAACGTCTCCAGGTAATCTGATCTTTGGACTTTGCTCATACCCTTTATGCAGATCGCCAGATCTTTGGTCATGAAACCGGACTGGATAGTGTCCACGCACACCTGAAAGAAATACGGTTTCAAAAATGTGTTTCTTTCTGAATAAAGATCTTCAAATGATAATTCGTGAACACTCGATGGATAATTTTAAAAAAATCCTGTATACGACGTTTCACTTCCCACCTGTAGGAAACTTACATTATCAAGAATACTTTTTTATGAATATATTATGATGATATGAATATTGAACAGGTGATGGGACTTCAAGTTCTGGGATAAAACAGAAAAATATTCAAAATCTTATAAACAAGAAGGGCAAAGGGAGTTTGAGTTATGGTTGCAAAGGAGATTGAAGAGCGACCAGTTTGCTTAGGATACAATTTGTAATAAAGAACTTCATATTTTTTCAGGAACAGATGGCCTCAAAAAACCTATGTCTACCGATTTTATCTTTTTCGGTTCGGCGACACTGAATGGCATCGAACTTAAAAACGAAATCTAATGTTACATCTATAGCAAACAAACACCGAATGTCCTTCTCATAAGTCTATTAGGAAAATTGTTTTTTATCATTACGTCGTTCATTTCCATCTCTCTGTCAGCTAATCCTTAGCGCCCCTGTAAGGAAGGTAAGAAACTGGTTTATAAACACTACTCAAGTGGTGCTAAAATTACTGCAAAAAGATAAATAAAAGTCACTCAATTTTTGTTTTTCTGTATGTCCAGAACTCTTACTGACCTTCTCCAGTGTATGAGCAAACTTATCCAGCTGCGCATTATTATCCAACTTGGCTCTGTGCATCAGGCCTCTGGTCCACGCGAAAATAGACGCAATCGGATTGGTAGACGTTTCTTTGCCTTGTTGGTACATCCTGTAGTGTCTGGTCACGGTGCCGTGAGCTGCTTCCGCTTCTACTGTCTTGCCGTCTGGAGAAATTAGCACTGAGGTCATCAGACCTAGAGATCCATATCTACCAAAAAATGGACTCAATTAGATTGACTCCATACTTCCTGCGCCTTCGTTGGAGATAGCAAAGAAAATGGATGAGTCAAATCGTTTCAACACCTTGATTAGGTTGGTTCACTTAGATGCGATGAATCTTCGACCTCTGTATATCAAACTATATATAGCAACAGTATCATATTTCTGATTCTATGGCAGATGTAGAGACTTATGTCTAACAATGGGTGGAAAATATCACAGACCAGCAGCTTTTCAAAACCTAAACGATGGAAGTATTAAACTCGCGATAATCGCACTTCGGTTCTCAAGTTTTCTGTTGCTTAAAGATATCTGCATCACACAAGTCCGTGTTTCTCTCTCTCAGTGTGTCAGTATCACCGTAGACCAGTTGGAATTTGTTTTTGTTGCCCATTGCAGCATCGACGGAAATGAGCAGTGACACGATATCCTAATTTCGAAGCTGTTCGAGATTAACTAGTTGCTTAGTTGACGGTGTGAAAAGTGGCTAGTTAATGGAACAGCAACTTGGTGTGTCGGAGCCCAGGTTGCCCATTTTACTTGCCTTTTCTTTATTACAATAATAATAATAATATTTATTCACATTAATTATAAATGGCGAATAAATTGATCTGCCTGAAAGGGAAAATATCTTTGTGCGTGGTTATAATTTTAATATTGAATTTAGTTGAGTCAGGATGCTATTTCTGGGTCGACGTTTTAACCGGTTTCTAAAAGATTACTGAATTTTTTTTAATACCTTACTAAGGACAAAATAAGTACCAATGATAATAAAGGAAAAGTTACCCTTGCGCTACAGAGTCGGACTGTACGTCTCCGTCATAGTTTTTACATGCCCATACGAATCCACCTTCGCTCTTCATAGCATAGGCTACCATATCGTCAATCAGTCTGTGCTCGTACCATATGCCTTTAGCTTCGAACTGAGGCTTGTATTCTCTGTCGTAAATATCCTAAAACAAAAACAAATTTGCAGTCTCTTCTTCAATATTACAGACAATATAAGACATTGAAAATGCTAAATTATCTTGAATTCATCCCAGCAGATTTACTGAAAAAGTAGTTTATTTTACCTGGAAGATGTCTTTGAACCGTCCATCATATTTCTTCAAAATAGTGTTCTTTGTGCTGAGGTACAACGGGTAAGCTCTGTCCAAGGCGTATTTGAAAGATGAATGTGCGAACGCTATTATCGACTCGTCAGTATTGAACATTCCTGAAAAATAGAATTTTATAAATATGTATTAACCGGGCTTAAATGTATAATATTTATTGTTTTTTTTTTGTTTTAAATTGTAGATTACATGACACTGTATCTCTACGGAATGTTAATTTAAATAATAAAAGAAATGTAAAAGATATTTAGAAGCCACAATCATGAAGTAGAAAAATGTTTTCAACATATTTATAGAAGTTTTGAGATCGCGTTTTAATAATAATATCGGTTATTCTACTGAGTACAATTTACTGGGGAGGTAAACAAAGATGTATATGTATCATGTAAAGAAAACATAATACTTGACTTTCAGTGTTTTAAATTACATGCTTACAAGCCAATGAACATTTTTGAAATACCATGTAAAGCCTGTTGAAATCAAAATAGTTAGTTCTGCACGGGGGCAGATTTTACGACCAATCTTTGAATATTTTTTTTTCAGGATATAATTAGGAATACTGACAATTGCAACATAAAACCTGTTATGCAATGTATAATTGTATCAATATATACATATATCTCGAACAACACATCAATTGCCATCATTATAATTATAGAATGGATATTATCAGAAGTAAATTTCGACATCATAACCTCGCGATTAAAGTAAAAATACGCATGAATCTCAGATACTGTGTGAATATGAAAAATGAATCTCAATTATAAATACATAGAATATTTTCCCATTAAATAGTACGAGTTAAATAACCTTGCACTCCATTTGAATACGTCACGGCCTTTGGTTGATGCGAACAGTAAAACATTGTATGATAAGAAAAATGTGATATCATTAATAGTCAGTATCTATTTTCATGGTGCTTTTAAATAGCATAACCAATAAACTTAGAAATTATGGCTACCGACATCGCAAAGATCTTTGAATTATAAACTTGGTAACACTGATGTATTTTTCAGAAATAGTGCATTTTTAGGCATGTGTATCCGTCAGGGATGGGACAAAGGGGGGTATATGCATATGCTATAAAAAACCATCAGGCTGTCTGGGCTGCAGCTCGTGGAATAGAAAACTCAAAGTTGAAGTTTGCGTTTAAAATCAGTCATTTTGTTTTATTAAATTGTATTTATTATTAGTGTTTTTGGCGCAAATTTTTAGTGTGCCCAGTGTCACTAGAACTGACCTGACAAAACTAGAGACACCTCATATGTCAAAATCTGTCAAGCATCTTCAGCTAGAAACTGCATAGTCCAAATTCGTTATTTTGATTTAACAAAACTTTAGTACACCCAGTGTCCCTAACTCTGTCAAGACAAATCTAGAGACATCTCATATGTCAAGCTGTAGCCCGAAATAGAATAGAATTCAAAGTTGACATTTAGATTTCATTTAAATTGAAGAGCACTCAATTTCCAAAAAATAATCGCCTTCACACCACCTCTACAAAAAATTGTGAAATATTCAAATCCCATTCTCATAATGGTCATTGTGCATTAAAAGGCATGCGCATTGTACTTTTTACTAGTACTATTTAGTACTTACCCATAGCTACTCCAGCGCCCTTATACTCATGCACCGTGTACCTCTGCGATTCCCCGCCTCCCTGAGGCGTGTACACCATTTCCAATTTGCCCGCCCCTGGCACGACGAAATCCGTCGCTTTGTATTGGTCGGCGTGCGCGTGACGGCCGATGATGATTGGCTTCGTCCAGCCCGTCACCAGACGAGGGATGTTCTGGCAGATGATGGCTTCGCGAAACACGGTGCCGCCCAGGATGTTACGGATTGTGCCGTTAGGGGATTTCCACATCTATGTTAGCAATAGAAATTGTTGCTAAAAGATCACTGCATAGGATATTTGATGCGTAATCGAAAATATTCAATATTCTCTAACGAAAAATGTACCCCACTGGGTCTCGCGTTAGATTCGGAATTCCATGAGCCAACGGATAGAAGGTAGAATAAGTATCAAAAGGCTTAGCGCGTCAGACATGGATGCTTGAAATGTTGACATCTTATAATTTTTAGAAGCTCTTACATGGCGAAACTCTTCGATTAAAACATTATCTTCATTCGGTTTTTCCAGGGATCTATTCTAAAACCGTTCTGAATTACCAGTAGCTAAATGCAATGTAACTCAAAATCACAGGAAGCAATTGCGCGGAATCAGAAAGACACCAGTATTTTGAAAAATGGTCGCTATGATGGCAATCTGATCGCCAGACGTGTGCACTAGCTAGTCGCTAATCCGCGCCACCCGTACTCGCTGCGAACGCCACCTCTGGAGAAATGACAGAACGACCTATAGGATAGAGCTTACACCCTAGGCCATAGAAGTTATGAATGGCGTTCGCTAGTGAAATCTCATAGTTAGTTCCAAAGAGACCAACAGGGAATATGCATGTGATCGTTTTTACCTAGTCTATATATTACTACAGAATCTACTACTTTATTTTATACTTGAGCGCAATAATCTGATAAGTATTGGTTCATAAGAAAAGGAAAACGTATGTGGTAAACTTAAAATGTCGAAACGCATCGCTATTGGTGTGACGTTACCATTTGCGACTTGTGACCAGTAATCCTTTGTTGATTGGTCAGTTGGTCAGACTGATTTGAGATTGTGGACGTTTGTTCTCACTGTCTTTGAATGTCAACCTGTCAGTTAGATATTTCAATCTTTCAAATGTAACTCATAAATCAAATCCAAGCGAATAACCAAAATTTCTGTGTTATGTGCCGCGGTTATAATATGGTTCAAGATGACACACGGGTTGATGACGTCAGTTACACGAATCGCTTGAACGCGTTGGTTTTAACCGCGGTTTTGTTGCAAGTTGTTTATTTTAGAAAAGCCAGTATATAATTTCTGATTATTTTTATTATCAATTAATAATCGGTGCTTTTTCGTGTACAACGGTGTATGGAAAGTTTAAAAAAGAATCATGGGAGAAATGTTTTTTCAGATTTTTTTTTAATGATGGAACCATGGCTTTGTAGCTATGATAACTTTCAATTCTCTAAATTTTTCCGCATGTCAAAGAAAACATTTATTGATTCAGCAGGAATGATGAAAAAAGAAATTAGCAAAACCGTATACAGGTGGATATCATCTAGTGAGTTTATATGGCCATATTTTAATATTCTTGTGGTATATGGCTACACAGGATACTTTGTTAAGCACAGGAACTACATTTAAAGTGTCCCCAACAACCGTAATGAGTATAACTAATAAGGTGCTCCACTTTATGGTAAAACTGAAGTCAGCCTGAATCAATTTTCTCAAAAATGAAGCTGAAGTACAATAACAATATCCAATACCCGGCAAAATTCTAACTTGTCACATTTCAAATAATAACCAGAAATATAAAACTACTCTTGAGTTGGGTAAATACCACAATTTTGCGGTGATAACTATGACATATAACAGCTGATTCGTGACGTCACGGATCTTATAACCAAACTGATAACTATACTCGCTTGAACGGATTGGTAAATACCAAGCCAAAATGGTAAATACCATTTCCATTTGGTTTTCCGCTTGAATTTGATTATAGTAATAAAGATAACCTATAAATACTTTCCAAAAAGTGTCGTTTAAATCAACGTCATTGGCATTACACATTTTTAAATATTCAATTAAAAATGAACATAGATATCCATGAATGAAAATTGTGATTGCATAATCGATAGAAATTACAAAAGAAAAACCTATTCCTTATTTTGGAGATCAGATCGCTATCCCTGTCATGTTGCAGTGCAGTTTTGGAATATTTGCTTGTCCAACCTGAATAAAGGTATTTATTCTTTGTTAAGAGTTTTAACATAAAAAGTAAAAAGATACATTCATAATGTAAATACAATCCTTTTGACATTTGAATTGTCTTCAATAATTTTGGAAAGAAGAAATTCCTGATGCAAACAGGACAAATTTAATTTAAATTAAAAAAAAACAAATGCACAGTAGCAGCAACACTAACTGCTCAACTTGTAATTATTTCCTTATATAGGAGGAAAAGTTGCCAATTGCAGACTATTATTGTTCCAGAATATAATCAAGTAAAGTATTTAAAGATAATTTAATACATGTATATTATTCATCTATTTGTGAATACAACTACCTCCAACAATATTGTATAAATTGAGCTGTTAGCTGAACAATAGGCAAGGTCACTCATAGTTCACTGACTTCATGAATGTACATACCCAGTTTGCCCAAATCAGTCAGGACATATTGACAATCTTTACTTCAGGCAGATTATGGCTATAAAGCCTTGTAGGTGGATGTTTTCTAGTAGCTGAGGTTTCTAAGGGACACTACGTACAACAAAAATATTGATCTGTGCTAGTATGGTGATGAGTGGCAATTAGTTAAAAAAATGAAGATAAACAGTGAAGCTATATTCAAAATTTAGGCTTTAAAACACAAAACCCTGGGTTGCAACCACCATTGACCACAGTATTATGGGATATAATATGGACGCCTAGGCTGATTTCACACTACTTCCGGCTGAATTATACTTTAGCGCATATCGCAAATATTTCATTTCTCATTTTAAAATGAAAGATTAGGATGTAACTTGCACGAAAATATCATTTTTTCTTTAAGAATCCTCTGCTTGCTATAATATAGAACTTCAAAGGTTCATTTTGGGTGCTAAGTAATACTTTGGTATAAAATACTGCTTTATAAACTGTTTTCTTCTTGTTTATACAAAAGTTTGTTCGAAATTATATATATATAACATACACTGTAAGTTACTGTGATACTGTTCATCTCAATAATGCAATTTTACATTATTTTAATGATGAAAATAGTTCATTGTTAAGTAGTTATTTTTTATTTCAGATAATTATTCCCATCACTACACGACCGTCACTGTCATATTCTCTCCATCTAGTTGCGATGTTGCCAAATCATGGATAGTAATATACCTTAATTTGGTTTGTAAAAGTCTTACTTATATACTAGTGCAAAAATGTGTAATCGGCAACGGATTGTCATGAAAATGCGATTTGGAGGTGTGGCCGGCAGGTTTTACTGTACTAAATCCACCTTGTGCCCTACGATAGCGTTAGCTAAAGAGACTTTTTTGAAGAATGCCTTATGCCCTTCACAAAAGTACTTTATTGTTTTTCCTATATTATAGTTATAATCTATTTACTTTTTGTATATATGTACCTGACTAATTACACTGATCAACAGCCAAAAAATATTCTAAATAAAATCAACAAAATATTACTATTTTTAATGTTCTAAAACCGGAATGAAACTTATTTTATCAATATTAGTTCAAGTTTTAGAGATACGGTAATTATATGTGTTCCTGCTGTGACAGTGTTAATATACTCTAATTCACAAGAATGCACGTGCTACATTTTTATATTCGGCAAGGAAAGAAGATGTAATCGGCATGATTGTGTTACGTTATACATACGTGTACATTATATTGTTTTATATTAGCCATTTTTTCCTCAGTTGGCTTACAGCGTTCATGCAAGATGTCTCGAAAGTGTGTAAACAATCCAGATCAGTTTTGTTACGTGTGTGGTGATGTGACTTTTGCGTCTCAGAGACGGTCTATTACTCCACTAATAACAAAGGCATATCAGCTTTATTTCGGTTGTAAACTAGGTGATCAAGACAAACAGTGTGCACCCCACATCTGCTGTAATACATGTGCTTCAAGTCTGAGGAGCTGGTTAAATGGCAAAAAACGGTCCATGCGCTTTGCTGTCCCAATGGTTTGGAGAGAGCCTACAAATCATATAAATGATTGTTACTTTTGCATGGTACCTTGTGTTGGACAAGCCACAACCCAAACATACCATCTGCGATGAGACCTGTGCCTCACAGTGACGAAAATCCTATTCCAAAACCCCCAGAATCCTACACTTGCGAATCAGGAAACGAATCAGATCATGGCGATCGAGTGATTCGTCAGGAAGAAGATATGCCATCAACGTCAAGAGATCCTGATTTTATACCGAGCACGTCATGCCACCAACCGCACAAAATAACACAGTCAGAATTAAATGATCTTGTAAGAGATTTAGAACTTCCAAAATGTAAGGCAGAGTTACTTGGATTAAGGCTGCAGCAGTGGAACTTGTTAGAAGACGATGTTTCGGTATGTGTTTTTCGTAAACGCCACAAAGACTTTTTTTCCATTTTTCAATATGGAGAATAACTTGGTTTTCTGCAGTAACATTAACGGCTTACTGGCGGCTTTAAATATAAACTATAACCCAGAAGAATGGAGATTGTTTATAGACAGTACAACATTGAGTTTAAAGGCAGTGTTATTGCATATTGGAAATATTTTACCATCTCTTCCTGTAGGGTATGCAGTTCACATGAAAGAATCATATGACAATATGAAGTACCTATTGACATGCATAAAGTACGATGAGCACCAATGGCATATTTGTGGCGATTTGAAAGTTGTTGTACTTTTACTTGGACTGCAGCTAGGCTACACAAAGTGTTGCTGTTTTTTGTGTGAATGGGACAGTCGGGCAAAGGCACTTCATTACACCAGACAAAACTGGCCTGTTCGTCAATTCTTAGAGTCAGGTCAAAAAAATGTACAGCATATGCCATTAGTAGATTCGAAAAAGATTTTATTACCACCACTGCATATCAAGTTGGGCCTAATGAAAAACTTTGTCAAGGCATTAGATAGAGATGGGTCAGCTTTTCAATGCCTGCGTCAGAAATTTCCAAGACTAAGTGAGGCAAAGGTTAAAGAAGGTATTTTTGTTGGGCCACAGATTCGAAATATTTTGAAAGATACACAGTTTGAAAACACTTTAACAGGTATTGAAAAAACTGCTTGGAATGATTTCCGTCTGGTGGTCACTAATTTCTTGGGAAATAGAAAAGCTGACAACTATAAAACCCTTGTCAAAAATATGCTGTCATCGTATCAAAAGATGGGCTGTAATATGTCTCTTAAGATACATTTCCTACACTCACACCTGGACTTTTTTCCTGACAATTGCGGAGCCGTAAGTGATAAGCACGGCGAACGTTTTCGTCAGGATATTTCAACAATGGAAAAAAGGTACCAGGGAAAGTGGAATCCTTCCATGCTTGCAGACTACTGTTGGACTCTTGATAGAGATGCTCCCGAAACGATTCATAAAAGAACAGCAAAAAGACAGCGCATATAGTGATTCTTATAAGTATATGAATCTTGTTACTTTTTTTAATATATCCTCAAAAATAAAAAGTTTTTTTTCTAAACCGCAACCAATTTTTTTATTTCATTGTCATTTTTGGATTCAGTGCCCCAAAATTAACAACGAAGTGCACTTTTCCCACAAGATACAATTAAAAAACTAAAATTTGTTGCCCAGTGTTATTTAATGTGAAGCTGATGTTACAAAATGTACCTAACTAAATGTGATATATATAATATGAGAAATAACTGAAAAAGTAGCTGTTGCAAATCACTAAATAATGAAAACATAACAAAGAACATTGCAAGTTTTTTGATGAATTGATCGTTGATTTAAATATAATGTTGGAAGATGAAATGTTGGGTGGACCTGGCGAGGTGCTCCAAATCGACGTTGGGTATTTTTATAAGCAATGACCGCTGGTGCCTTTTGTATTTTTTATGTCACACGAGTCGCTGGCGTATTTTCCACTGTTTAGACATATACTGTTCCAAATTTCATCGAGTTCTCGGTAAATATTGGGACAACTTTTCATAAAACAAGCCATTTACAATAAATTCAGACTTTTATTTTGCAAATAACCTCATTTCTAATTACGCATATCTCCCAAAAAAGGTACAACTTGGCAACAATGGACATCATTTATCTTATCTGTCAAGGAATGAGCCTTATAAAAAGGCCATTGTACTTTCAAATATTTCTTATAAACGCTAAAACTTTGATCTCATTGAAAATACGCGAAAAAAATTGTTAAGGAATTTCAAGAAGACATTGAAAAATCACAAAACACCTCTACACAGTTTACCAAGTAAATACCATCTTTTACGTATGTATTTTGATCTGTTATTTAAGCTAATCAGCTAATGTGTAATACTTAACAGGTCTGGTGTTGAACCTTTTTTTGCAAAAAACAACGATTTTTTACAGTTTCACATCTATTTTCCTTAGTACTATACACTGTATGTTATATTCTTATAATTTAGAGCATCCTTTTGTACATAAAGTTAAAAAAGGCAGCATATAAAACAGTATTTTATTCTAAAAGTATCAACAACATGCAACTTCAAAGCTCTATAAAAAAGCAAGCAGAGGGTTCCTTAAAGAAAAAATGATATTTTCGTAAAAGTTACATCCTAATCTTTCATTTTAAAGTAAGAACTGAAGTATTTGCAATATGCGCTAAAGTATAGTCTTACCCTACTACCTTTTAAAAATAATTTTGGTACGCCACTGATCAATAAAAGGTAAACAATACTGATAAAGTTGCATGAATAATTTACCGTTGTTCTTGATGAGATTGCAATAATCTATAATAGCTTACCTGTTTTAATTTGAATTCCTCCACCCGTTTCTCATCCGGTGTGATTGTTGCACACTTAATGCCGACGTTGTATTTTTTAATAGCTTCAGCACAATCTACAGTGACCCTATCTTCGGTTTTGTCCCTGTTTTCGATCCCCAGATCGTACACTTTCAGGTCAATGTCCAAGTAAGGCAGGATCAGTTTTTCTTTGATGGAATCCCAGATAATTCTAGTCATTTCATCCCCTAGGATGTCCACAACGGGGCCGCAGTGAATTTTGGCCATTTTTGAAGGAAATTGCAGCGGTTCCAACACGTCTACACCAAAAGGGAGGCCACCGTAAAATGACGGGAAACGGGAACAAATAAACAAGTTACCGATGCCGGTGAAAGTCTAGATGATTACCATAAATGCATTTGACGTCTAGCGAGTACGTGTATGAAAATGACCGTGACAAATTGTCAGATGCTTTTTTATTAGCCGGGAGCGGTGTTGCCAGAAGCTCACAAAGCATTTAAGCTTCCGCCCGTTATAGTTCAGTCGACGTTGTCCAGTCAACGGTCTACGCAAGTTTCAGAGTTGCTTGATGCGAACTGGTTGAAGATGCGATATCGACGTGGGTTGCAACATGTAATCATTCATATAATTTTGTTTTTTAAGCAACCACTATACTTATTCAATAGACTAATTTTCCGCACTGATCAAAATATAAATTTTTTCACCTTATTTTTGAAGATTCCTTCCCTTATGACTTAAAAATTCTACATCGAAATCAGTCCAAAATCAAGAAAAAAAAATAATTCTGGAAAACAGTCAAGTGAGCACTACTATAAATTTGAGTCACAAGTATTCAAGTTTTTTAGTACCATTCAAGTTGGTTGTAAGGCTTCCTGGGGTAAATTTTTTACATAAATTTCATGAACTTCATTTATTTATAAACGCTTATTCAGTCATTTTTGTAGAAAGAAAAGAAGGTATACTGTGACCCCTCAGAGCCCTGGATCAACTCTAACATATCGAGGATGCTTCGTCACAAGAGATCTTTGTGGCAACGGTTTAGGAGGAGTGGCCATTCACAAGATTACGTGTCTCATCGATCCTTTTCTAACCTCCTATCTAGAACGTTACATAATGCCAAACATGCTTATGAACGAAAACTCGTTACCTCCAAAAATAAGAAGAAACTGTTTCGGTATCTAAGAACAAACCTGAATTCCAAAGTTTCATCACCTCAGATCCGCGACGCTGACGGTCATCTCGACATGGATGCCACCGAATCTGCCAACTTACTGGCAGAGTCCTTTAGTGATGACTTCGTCGATGAGCCTAATGGAGACCTTCTACCGACCACTATCTGCCATAGGTGTCCCAACAGCCTTTGCGAAGTTGAGTTCCTGCCTGAAGATGTATTAATGCACCTGCGAAATCTGAAGACCTCTTCCTCCCCTGGTAAAGATGGGATGACGGCTGCTGTACTTAAAAACTGCGCTTCAGCACTGGCCCTACCATAAAGCTTTGATATTCACATCGCCCAAAAAGGGCGACAAATCCTCCGCTAAAAATTATCGACCAATAAGTCTCGTTCCTATCGCCGCCAAAATAGCTGAAAGAATCATATTAGATAAGCTCCTATCATTTGCTTTCGAAAATGACCTTATCCCTAAGAATCAGCAAGGATTTCTCCCTGGTCGATCAATAATGACCAACCTTCTCCACTCTCTCAACGATTGGACTCAGTATCTGGACACAAATACTCCTGTTGATATAATCTACTTAGATTTTTCTAGGGCTTTCGATCGCGTACCACATAGAAGGCTTCTGTTTAAGTTGGAATGTATGTGATTAAGAGGCGAGTTGTTACTGTGGATTAAGGCTTTTCTCACCGGGAGGACTTTCTCTGTGCGCGTCAGTGATAGCCAGTCTTACCTTCATCATGTAGCAAGTGGAGTTCCTCAAGGCTCTGTCTTGGGGCCAGTGCTGTTCCTTCTGTATACAAGTGACCTGCCCGCATTGATTTCCTCCACATGTTCAGCTTATGCCGACGACACCAAGATTTACAATACTGTCGTAAATTCTGCTATGCTTCAACGAGATCTTGATATTGTTTGTCAATGGTCAGTCAGTTGGCTTTTACCCTTAAATCTAACTAAGTCTTGTGTCCTTCACCTTGGGAGGACAAATCCGCGATTTACACACAAGATCTCTGACCACAACATCGAAGCAGTTTCCAGCCACACTGATCTGGGCGTTGTAGTCAACGATCGTCTTTCCTGGTCAGAGCATATTCACCACGTTACATCAAAAGCCAAGAAACTTCTATACATGCTGGAGAGGTCTTTCAAAGGATCCGATGTCAACACTTGCGCCTACATTTACAAGGCATTCGTGAGGCCAATTCTTGAATTCGCTGGCCCGGTATGGGACACTGTGCTTCTGCGCGATAGAAATCTCGTCGAATCAGTACAGCGTCGGGCTACTCGTATCCCTTTTGGAGCACGAAGACCAAGCTATGAAGATCGCCTTGAATTATTCAACCTGACCTCATTCTCTGAGCGAAGACTTCGTGGCGATCTTATAGTTACGTTCAGGATACTTCATGGTTTGATGGGCACCAACCTCATGCATCTATACCGTCTGTCGCGCAGCAATCTACGCGGACACAGCTTCAAACTGCATAAGGAGCCATTTAAAACAACAGTCCGACAGTGGTTTCTTCCCAACCGCATATTCAACACCTGGAATAGTTTACCTGAAAGTGTGGTTGGTGCTACTTCAGTTAATAGCTTCAAAGTGCAGTATGATAGCTGGAGGAGTGTACAAACTTTATAGCTATGAACTGTCTTTTTTTATTTTTTTCTATTTGATGTATTTGTGTTACGTGTCCATACACTATATTTACTGCATGAGCTTATAGTACTGTGTACTCTGCTCATCCAATTATCATAATAATAATAATAATATAATTTTGTATGTGAATATCATTTTTAGTTATTTCTTTTGCTGCAATATTTATTATTTGCCATATCATTATAAACAAGCATCGACTACTATCGGAACTCATGGTCGCCCGCTGGGGGAGGCCAGGGAGTGTGCCCCCCCCTGAGACCCTGGTTGAATCTTAAACATTTGCATATTTAGCGTGATTTTGGGGCAGGTACACCTTCCAAAAGGTTATCTCTTGCCTATGATCGCCTACCTGTGGACGCCCATTTCGGTACTTTTAAGATCGAGTTTTCTGTTGATGAAAATACCTATACAGCGCCTCACGTAGCACATGCACGTGAAAATGACGTTACAAACTGGCTTTAAAATGGTGAGAAATCACGAGACGAACGACATAAATGTAACGTGAAAATGACTTAATGTGACATAACGTTGGCGTCATGTGACAGACGTCAATAATAGGTCACTTACTGGACGTGACGATGACGTCTATTATTGATAATAATTAACAAGTTTTATCTTGCTCAAAAAATTATATATTGTATGTTATGAGTAGTATTAATCACCATAGGATACAAATTTAACCTGTGAAACTGTTTTGGACCATTTGTCTATAGTTTTGGGAACACTCAGTACGTGAAGGTTGGTGCAAAGAGAGGCACTCAATGCAGCATTGCCAAATTAAACTTAAAAACATTTTCAAGAATAACATAATTTATTCGTTTTGCACTCTCGCTTATTCTTGAAAATTATAAAATTTTATATACCGGAATGCTAGCAATTTAAAAGGGAAATCGAAAATGACACGCGTTTGGCAACACTTTGATCAATTTTTATTTGAGATAACTTTTGAGTTACGTCGATCAGGGCTGAAATGAGATAATTGTTTCTGTGCAAGCTGACTTGATCCGTTTTGAATCGGAAAGATTGATTCTAAAATAACAAAACGTACATATGAAAATAAATCCAATTAAAAAAGGTAACCTCAAAAACACGTCATAACAAGGTCTCACCTTACACATATACCCTGTTTCACAAGTATCCATCACGCTTATGACGTCTACTGAGGTGAACAGCTGATCAGCAGGTGACATTTTTGTGTTAGTCCGCAATCGGATGTAAATCTAACAAAACTTTGTTTGTAGCGTTTTGTTTTTTTTTATACAAATGAACTTTTCTAAATAAAAGTAATTTTAGCAAGTACAAAATGAATCTGTAGCGTACAAAAAAAAACAAAGTACGGCTCTGTCCACTTGGCATTGACGGATCCGTCAGAATTATATGTATTCCCGACAGAAAAACAAAATTCCGAATACAGGCACAAAAAAACAAGGCATTATTGATTTTATGAAGGATAAGGGAATGGAAATACCACAAAAATCAACCAAAGCCATATTATTGGATCTTATTAAAAGAAAAAAATTTGAAAAAGAGTATGTTGTTGACAATCTGCTTCAGCAAAATGGCCATGAAGTATTACGTCTACCTCCCTATTACTGCATTTTTAACCCGATTGAGTTGGTCTGGGCTGCTTTCAAAAAAAATAAGGAAACATAATCAGACCCCTCAATTAAGTGAATCGCTATTGGCCACAATAAGAGATGCAGTATCTCATATTGCTGCCACAGACCTATGGAAGCAGTGTTCTAGGCGTATTATTGAATAGAAAATGAATATTGTGTTTTGCCTCCTGTAAATCCCGTTGTAATTCCTCTACAAGATGACTCTAGCGACAGCTCCGAAGGCGAGGATGATATATAAATACCTATAATGTAAGTCTTTATATACCTACCTGCTATGTAAATATTTGCCTATGTCAAACGTTGGAATTCTGTAATTTTTCCATTTCTTAACTTTCAGTCAACATAAATTAAACTCCCAATATAAGTATTTTTTATCCCAAATCAAAAAAATAAGAAGATAGTAAAATCCATTTATTGTGATATAAAAACATTATTATTATCGTTCTAAATAAATGACCGCACGCCTATGATACGTCATGAAATTACAAAGGACGCGCCGACCAAAGGTTTTTATGCTATTTCAAGTGACTTCAGATAAAGTATACTTTGCCGATATTGGGAATTTTAAAATATTACCAGATAACCAGCTGTCATTGCACCATGATGGATACTCGTAAAATAGGCTATACACAATTGGACATTGAGTAGACGTCATTACGACGATATTTGGAAACAATGACGTCCGTTGACGAGTTCTCACCGAATTTCGACGTCATTATGACGTGCTTGTGCTAACTGGGGCATGACCATCACGTAAAGCAACTTATTTATAGCTAGAAAAAAAACGTTTGACATGAAGCAGTGCGTGGAAGCAAATCGAGGGCGCCATAATTATTTGCGCTCGAACTCCACAACAATATTTGTCGGAGTATTTTCAACTTTACATCCAGAATTACGTGATGGTATATTCGTACGCGTCAACCTGATATCAGAAAAAAAAAACATGAAATTCGAAGATTAAAATATCTTGCGCCGCGCTCAAAATGGTACCAGCGTAATGCTCGAGCACTTTGCACTCTTAATACGCATTTTTTTGGACAGACAAAATTACTTGAAGATATAAGAAGCTAGACATTATTATTCGCCCACATATATTTAAATGGTACAGAGGCAAACGATGCAATGTCACAAAGAACAAGTTTTGTGTAATTAACACGTTAATGTTTGAAAGTCAATAACTTTATTAATTATCAATTCACTCTACAAGTAGTTAATAGGAACTTAAGTTTACATTATAAGGCAGGCTTAACTAATTGTAAACATAATAAAAAAATTATGTAATTGAATTATTTGAAAAACAAGGAATGTCCATCACATCCGAAACAAAGAATCTTTGAAAATAATTAATGTTACTAATTGTATAATTTGAGAATAGTCAGAAGGTCGTTTTTTGGGTCACAGACTTCGCCAAGCAGGCAGAGTCTTTCGACGAGTGACGTAATGAATACACTTTTTTTACACCTCTAGATCGCAACAAAATTGAATCAATAATGTTACAACTAAAAAATGGTACCATAATTTCCTTTATTTGTTTGACTATCCTGTCAACATATTTGTTTTTAAAACTGCATTTATGATTGTTTAGCACTATCCCAAAAGCTGTATGGTGATAAAGATAAGTCTATCCACGTTTGTGGTCTAAAAACCACAAACATCAACAACTCATCGGGGATCATTGACTTTCAACAAGATAAGAACGACGACTACTAGAAAAACAAAAATTATTTATTAGAAAAATAAATTAAGTACAAAAATATAGTATACACAGTATGACTCATATCTTGATAAAACAACTTGTAGAAGTTGCATCACAACCGTCATATTCTTTAATACTGCCGAGTTCCTTGTTTTCGTCGCTGATACAAGCACATCTATAGGACGTGGAGCCTGGTTCATAAAGCTGTCTAGGGACGCCAACCCAGTCTCTTGATATGCCTCCACTGGAAAAAATACATTATGATGCAATCATAGTTATTCATGTATCTACTGCATAAAATGGGCGTTCACGGTCAGTGGCGTGAAGTCAGAATTCAAGACGCAAAGGGGCAAACTCTCTTTATGCCTGATATATGTATAATTCTCGATTGGCTATAGAGTAAGTTGAACATTCAGAGTTAGTCTTTAAGTGGTCTAAAAAAGAATAAACTGACCATACTATATCAGTGGGAGACTGTGGTTGCAGCACCGGGCCATCGGGGGATAACAACAAATAAATATGGGCATCCCCAAAGATGGGGAGCTGGGCTTTACTGCCTTAAGGCCCAAAGAAGCCCATAGGCTGGAAACTGGGACTTGACACTTGGAGAACATAATCTTTAAGTACAGAGATGTGACTTATTTAAGATACAAGTATCTGAAATACAAATACAAGATACACAATACATATTTTCATCTTGTATCTAAGATCCTCTTTATAAATTGTATTTGGTATCTTAGTATCTGGTAAATTTTATATTTGCTAGAATACTTTTAGTAATAGTGACCTATGCATCTCTGTACATAACGCGTCCTTGAAACTTTAGTCTGGGAGACTTTAGACAATATTGGAAGTGATATGGAAAAAAAATCTTTTACATGTTCTTAGAGGTATTTAATTCGTCGATTGCAAGTGACGTTAACAGTGGAAAAAGGGTCTACTGGCTTCACTGCTGACTGATAAACACCTAAATAATAACAGTTTAAAAAGGTTAAATGCTTATCCTGTCAAAAAAGTATTTTTCAAATATAACACCTGTTTGCTAATTTCTGCCCCTGTCGAGAGACACTGTCTTTTGTGAGTATGTTAATAAGGCCTTATCAAATAAATAAATAAGTGATAAAATGTTCAAAGAACTGGTTCTACTTTTCTAAATTAAAACCTTAAAAATATATTTTGTCACATTTGTGTGACCAACACAAATAATTTATGTAATAAAAATAAAATAAACTCCATAAATAGTCAGTTTCTTACAAAAGTATTTTATCTTTAAGAAGTGTTACAAGACATGTATTTTAGATACCATTCCAGAGCGTATTTTGTATCTGGTATCTGAAATACTTATTTTAAAAATATCTTGTTTTTTGTACTCCAGATACTTTGTATAAGATACCTTGTACATCAATTATTAAGTATACTTTATCATCTGATCATAGAAATTTTTTTATCATCAGCATACTATATGTATCAAGGCAGTTGCAGGTAATACAAACATCAACATTGAAACATAACATTGTGATCAATGTTGCCTTATATAGTTTCTCAATGGTTTTTAACTTGAGAGGATACATTCTTAATTATTATACCTTAATTCTGTGCACCAGACTCTTGTGCCAGTTTCTTGTGTCCACTCCAAATTGCATGGAGGAAATATCCGTTTTTGAAGATCTGCATCCTTTTCTTTTTGTTTAGCAGCTTTTATATGATCTTTTACTACTTTTCCATGAGGAGTCAGCTGTCCATTTTCATCATAGTAGGTTCCTATTAATTTTCCTAAGAAAAAAAGCAGTTATTTCAAAATAGAACATTAAAGCATTAGAAGGTAAGCTCCAAGCTTATTTCTGTTCCTGGCCAGACTTTTTCTCTTCTCTTTACTCTTTTCTCTGAACAATGAAAGATATTTATCTCATCTTACCTACTTTAGTGTAGTGCTTTCTATAAAACTGCTTCCATTGTTTGAGGCTTAACAATTTATCATGGCTCAAATCAGCTACCTGGTCTGAAGCATCTTCATCATTAAAATTTCCTGTTATAAAATTCCTAGAAGCATCCTTTCCTAAAAAATATAACATATTTTTGTGCGGTAATGTTTTTGCATCTTTTGAGCTTGTCCTTGACAACCTTGTGCAACATTATCCATACCCAGAAAAAAATTAATTCAAAATCTGAATTTTCAAAAATTATGGAATCAGAATTTTAAAATAATTGAAAAATTCGCAGTTTTCTAGAACACTACTTTAAATCTGTGAAATGGTTCTTCATATTGTTTTTGAAGAAAATATTTCATCCCAGAACTAACTTCAGTTGCTTATTTTTGGGATCTGAGATCAATATAAAATTTGCTTTATCGACTGTACTATAGATTTTAGCCAATACCATCCGCCATCCATCATCAAATATCATTTTAGGCCAAACATGATGATATGGCTCTTGAGAAAGCACTCACCAACAAAAAAATTGTACTGACAACCATCGCCATAATGCTTGGCCCCTTTAGTAACATCAAACACCTCTCCTAAAATGGACAAATATAATTCGGGCCTGTCTTTGCCATTGTACAACTGCAACTCCTCCAAAGTTAGCAGCACCTCAGGAGATGGCTGAGCTGGAGACCTCTGAATAAAAAACTGTCTGATCACTGCTGGTATGAAATCAGAAGCTTTATCGGTCCAAACTGCAAATAGAAGTACAAACAATGATGTGAATATCACAGCTTTTTTCAACATTTTTGTAAATATATTTGTTTTTACGTTTCCCCTAACCTCACATTTTTCTGTCAAACATGATTAGTAGTGATGGGCAAAAAGTATCTATCCGATACTTTCCGAAGTCAGAAGTATCCGATACTTTTTGATAAATCTATCGAATACTGTAATCAATACTGACAATCTGACTATTTATACATAAATCAAATCCAAGCGAATAACCAAAATTTCTGTGTTATGTGCCGCGGTTATAATATGGTTCAAGATGACACACGGGTTGATGACGTCAGTTACACGAATCGCTTGAACGCGTTGGTTTTAACCGCGGTTTTGTTGCAAGTTGTTTATTTTAGAAAAGCGCGTATATAATCTCTGATTATTTTTATTATCACTTAATAATCGGTGCTTTTTCGTCTACAACTGTATATCGAAAGTTTAAATACGAAACCTTTCATTATATGCATGGGAGAAATGTTTTTTTCAGATTTTTTTTTAATGATGGAACCATGGCTTTGTAGCTATGATAACTTTCAATTCTCTAAATTTTTCCGCATGTCAAAGAAAACATTTATTGATTCAGCAGAAATGATGAAAAAAGAAATTAGCAAAACCGTATACAGGTGGATATCATCTAGTAAGTTTATATGGCCATATTTTAATATTCTTGTGGTATATGGTTACACAGGATACTTTGTTAAGCATAGGAACTACATTTAAAGTGTCCCCAACAACCGTAATGAGTATAACTAATAAGGTGCTCCACTTTATGGTAAAACTGAAGTCAGGCTGTATCATTTTTCTCAAAAATGAAGCTGAAGTACAATAACAATATCCAATACCCGGCAAAATTCTAACTTGTCACATTTCAAATAATAACCAGAAATATAAAACTACTCTTGAGTTGGGTAAATACCACAATTTTGCGGTGATAACTATGACATATAACAGCTGATTCGTGACGTCACGGATCTTATAACCAAACTGATAACTACACTCGCTTGAACGGATTGGTAAATACTGTAGTGTAGACAGAGAGTGACAGAGAATACAGAGATACTTCCGTCGCATGTGCGAAATGCGGATTGTGTCGTTTGGTTTGTAGTGTTTATCAATCTAAAAATAAAATATAACATAATGTGCACGCTATATTACAAATAATAGGCGACATTGGAATGATATTGATTAGTTGATGTTTGTTGTCTTTATTGTTTTGTTTATTGAAATATTTAAAATAAGAATATTCAATATTGGCATCATGATCAGGCATCAGGCGCATGATCCATGTTATTATCTGCTTCGCGACACCACGACTGACCAGTGACCAGTTTTGGGTTGTTGCACGTTCCGGGTTGTTGAATATAGGCGAACTTTTGGGAATTAAAGTGTTTCATTTTGATTTCTAACACTTAACTGAAGCAAAAGGCTGAAACTAATTTCTGGTCACAAAAGCCCAGAATTTATATTTTATTTTTAACCAATATTGTAACAATAACAAATATAGCAATGTAATTTAAAATTCAGGGTATCGCTCATCACTACTCATCAGTCATTTCTAATTTCTAGTCTATACTCGATCATACCTACTTATAGGAGACCGAGACCGATAAAGTATCGGTATCTATTCGATACTTGCAAAAGTATTGATTACCCACCACTAATGATTAGTGATGGGAATTGAAAACCGAATATGAATTCCTATCCGTATATTCATATTAGGTATTAAGCCACTCACTGACGTCTATTTTCTCTTGTCAGCTTTACAGGTCTTAGCCAATGTGCCACCAATGATTGTGCTTCTGTGAATCCAAATCTTCCCGGCAAATAAAGGACATGACCAACTGACGGACGTCGACTAACTCGGGAACTCGACAGTCACAATGGCGAAGACTAGATTGGTAATGATATTTTTAGTGTAGCACTAAAAACGATTTGGCCAAATTTTAGTTTTTCCCAAATACCTCAGTATATGACTAATTTCTCAGTGTATGCAATGTGCACAATTTATTTAAAAAAAACATAGGATTTCAACCCTAACACACAAATAGATGAGTATCCAAGGCTCACCTATAGGTTCCTGCACAGATATCCTGTTTCCCTCAGACGAGTTGGAAGTAGACCTAATTCCCACTTTGGAGACACTTGTCACCCATGCCACAACTGAGAGACAATCGAGGACCCTATAGTGACACCACTACTGAAAAAAAGTAGCGAAACCGAATAGAGCTCTCTACGGAGCTGTGAACGCGTAGACATTTCGCTGCGACGACGGTTGCCGAGAGACTGAAGCGAGCGATTGCTGTACCTCGCTGTGGCGTGATACGGTACGGCCGGGTAGTACAGCCACGCCCCTTTCCAGCTCCTACTCCTCGCGTCTGCTCCCGAAGCACTCGATGTTTACGTTGACCGCAGCACTCACACGCTTCAGTTTCTCGGCAACCGCCGGCGCAGCGGAATGTCTCCGCGTTCTATTCGGTTTAGCTTTTTTCACTAGTGGTTTTCACTATAGGGATCTCGATTGTCTATCAGTATTGCTTTGGTGTTTTAGTGTTGTGTCGTGGTTGTCAAGTGTCTCCAAAGTGGAAATTAGGTCTACCTCCAACTCTTCTGAGCGAAACAGGATATCTAACTAGATTTTTGTGAGTAGATGAACTTTAGAATCTAGTGTATAACACTTAACATGTTGATGAGATTGTATAAGAGAACAACTCAATTTTCTAAATGATTATAATCGATAAAAGGAGCATCCTTATCTCTTGAAAAAGAGCTTTAGTGATAAAGATTTTCTAAATTGGAAGGATACATTTGTTAGAACATTACAACTATTGAGGATTTCTACGTGATTCAACAGTCACAAATGTGGTATTCTGTTGTCGATATAAGATACTAACGACAATTTCCATAAATTTCAATTTTGAATATAAATATGAATGAATACTTTGGTAAATATGTATAGCTTAAAAAGTATGATATATTTTAATGATGCTGTAAAAATTCCTAAGTTATATATAATCATATTTTCCGTAAAACTTTTACATTCTGATTATCACTGTTATGGAAATGTGATTAGATATCCCTGTGTTATAATTCTTATGAAAAATCTGGTAACTCTAGTAACCTTACAGTTATTAATGATAACTATTATTTCTTTTCGGAATAATTTGTTTCCATCACTAATTCTAACAATTTTTCCATGCAGGTGCTGCGGAAGACCACCACCAGAAATGAAAATATTTGGACCATAAATATTATTGATGTGTTCATACAATCTGAAATTTAGATAAAAATATATTCTCAAGTATAGATTCTTTTACTGTTCTCAAATGTTCAAATAGCTATAGAGAGATACATGTACGATTTTAGAAGGCATGTGTTATTGACGCTGCTGCTTAAACAGATAAGTGAATACTTATTTGTCAAAACAGCAAAAATATGTTAATAACACAATCTTCCATATGTCATTAGTAAATGCCCGATATAATTGTACAAGAGTCTCAGATTTATGTAAAGAGCCGGCAACGCCGCTTGCGGCGTTCGTGCACAATCTGACAACCATGTGGCACCCAGAAAAAAGAGCGATTGACACTGACATAAATCGACCATGTTGCCCTATGGATAGCACGTGACTAAACCTTCTTCAGTGTATATGTTTTGTGCTAGTACACTTTAATTGTTCATCAAAGTTGGCTGATGTTTGGATGTCAAATGTTTACAAGCCAACTAACCATCTGTTGATTTGTTGATCCAACTCGAAATGACAATCAAAACTACGTTTATGACCGGCTTTAAGAATCGGAAGTATTCCATCTCCAAGTTAGAATAATGATTACCTGTTATCCTATCAGCTGTTTTCTTGTTGTGTTGTCAGTTCAGTGTTGTCATGTAGTTCTGGCATATTCAAGATTTTCAAAAAATATGCCGATTTGAATCCGGTTGCATTTTACTTATTTTTCTGATATTCTGAATGGGGTTCTGCCCAAGATGCCGCAGATAGAAGTCGCACTTTCAGAACAATGCGGATCTACTGGAAATGTTATTGCATATGGAAGAGGAGGTAAGAAAATATTCAAATCTTGTGAAATGGAAAAATATTTTTTTTTAGTTTTGCTACAAGTTGATAACTTAAAATGCGTGACAAGTTCTTCAGGTGAAATATTTGCTATATTTTATTATTGAGAGGTTATATATTTGTCTGAGCCTGATATCAATTTCTAGGCAAGTTGAAAAGTTTATTATTCTTCCATACAGGCCCTAATGAGATAGCTCCAATTTTCCAGTCTACTCCTTTTTTTGTGGCCTTAAGGCGGCTTGGAGGATTCTTTAGAGAGCTGTTGCTACCCCATGGTTATCCTGATAGTGTCAGCCCAGACTACCTGCAATATCAGGTATATTTTATCGATCAGATATATGGATTGTAATAAATAATAAAAGCATATGCCCAATATTATTTTTAAATAATAATATGGCGTATTTTTTAGTCTGATCATTCACCTGATTCTATAATTTCAGTGTTATATGAAGAAATTTTTTGAAATAGTGTTGAATGTAGGTAAAATTCAGTTATCGCCACATGTTAAATTTAGAGAATGTATGTTTATTCTAGGTATTGGCACATTTTCCAAATAAATAAGATGGTGTGGGAGTCACTATTGATTTATGTACAGTGTAATTACATATTCAGTTTTTTTCCACATTCAGCCAACCAATGTCTTTCTAGTTTGCTGATATATGATCATATTTTATTGTTGCTGTGCACTAGTGATGGCCACACTGAAACCAATACGGGCTGCAGCTCTTAGGCTGGTTTGATATTTAGAAACTTTTAGATGTGTTGAAACAGCTTCTTGGTGTTTTGAACTGTGCATCTCAAACATTTACTTTACAGATATGGGATACAGCTCAAGCATTTTGCAGTACTATAACAGGTGCTTTCACTACCCGAGCAGTGTTGAAGGGTGTTGGTGTTGGTGATGCTAATGCCAATGCCCTTTCAGCAGCAATCACATGGATCCTTAAAGATGGCACTGGAATGATTGGGAGGATTACTTTTGCTTGGTGGAAGGGGTAAATTACAAATTACTAATCATGCTTAGAAGCTTTTTGTGAATGTTATACAGCACAAAAAGTGATAATTTCTGACCAAAAAATTTCTCAACAGTGATCTGGAGTCATCTGAAAACAGAAACCATTTTCATTTATTTTCAGAAACAAACTGGATTCTGAATGCAAAAAGTGGCGACTATTTGCAGACATTCTAAATGATTTAGCCATGGTGACTGAATTATTTGTCCCTCAGTTTCAAGCAAATTCTATGCAGATCCTTTGTACTACATCAGCCATGAAATCAATAGTAAGTTTGTATGGTGGTAGTACCACAATACCATATTCACTTCATTGGGAGAGCAGGTCCACAACTAGGGCCGCCACGCTCGCCGCCCGAGATGAAACCCTTGGGGACACTTTAAAGGGGGGGGGGGGGATGATTTACGGAATAGAATCATTAATTTATGTGACATGATAAAAAATTTAATAACAATGAGCATACTGATCACTTTTCTGGCCGATCCTCTAATTGTACCCATATGTATGATGACTGATATGGGGCATAAAACTACATGTAACTTATCATTTCAGCTCTTTTTTTTTTGTTCCAGCTCGTTTTTAGTAAAATATCTAAATTATTTTAAAAAATCGTGAAAAACGAGGACGTTTTCGGTATTTGTCTCATTTCGTTAGAACTACCGAAAAATCGGTAGACTCGGCAACGTTGCGAGTGGCTTCCAAGCTCCGCATTCGTGTACACTCGGAATCCTGCGCTCTGATTGGCTGCTTTAAAAAGTCCTGCGTTCTGACTGGTTGAATCATAGAGGGTTCAAATGCGGGATTGCCGAGTTGTGCAAAAAGTCTGATAACTGATATTATCGGGAAATGATAGTGTCAACACTGGTCGTGTACTGTTCACCTAGCAGCGAGACTCGACCACTCGTAGCGCGCTTTGCCAAATCACACACTGCTGAACATGCGACATCGACACAGTGTTGGCATTTACTATGAGTTACTTGAGTTGCATAGTATTATTATTGATAACGTTCTGCATGTATATGACAGTTTGTGTATATATTATTGTATAGTAGTATTGTATAATAGGTAGGTGTAGCAGGGGGCGCAACGAGAGCTTCCATAACCCACCACCAGGCTATCAGGGACAATATGGCGGAGATATCGGCCAAAGATGGCAGCCAAGAAACGATGGTAAATCTGGTCGCTAGCGCATTGAGCATATACCTGTTGCAAATGCTCAACGGAAACGTGTAAGAGGGTTGTTTTCGTATTTTTCCGATTGTGCCTCAATATGTACAAATGTAATAGCAGGTGAAGTGTGTCATTCGGAGGGATACAACCGCACTACATACTTAAGTAACTTCAGGCTGCATGAATACATCCCACCTGAAATGTTGGTCTATAATTCCTAAATTTTTGATACTGTTCACTGTCAATTTTAAATTTTTTATTGTTTATTTTGAAGGAAAGTTTTGAATAATCAGGTAGATGTATTGCGTACTATGATGTGAATGGTAGAAAATGCGTTTTTCCATTGTTCACGATTTCTAGTCCTATTGAAAAAATGAATCATTTTACATGTTATTTTCGATTGTCCTTTTTAAATCATACCAGTCTTACCTACATATAGTATTGCCGTATCATCAGCAAAACTGACTATTTTATTATATATATATATGTATATATCCAAATACATATTAAATAAAAGAGGGGCTAACACACTGTACCCTGAGGTACACCACATTTAAAAAATATTGCTTATTGTATGATTTTGATAGTTTCGCTACTTGAGGCCTTTTTGATAAAGAACTTTGCATTAGATAATATATTTTTCCATGAAACCTAAACTGTTTAAAATCCATAACAGTAAATTGTGAATGCCTTTTTTTTAGATCAACAAATACACAATGTTTCTAATGAGGCCGTTGGCAAAAAGTTTTGCGAATGAAAATTCCTAAAATCGCCGTATAATATACTTCTCTTTGTTGTTACTAATAGATTCTACTGATCTTAGTAATTTTCTAGGGCAGAATGGTCTTTCATCGCAACCCTTATTATTTTACATATAACATTCAATTATCTGGCTGTTAAATCGTTGATATTCGATACGTTCAATGACCAAAGAATGGCTTTGGTACTCAAGACATATTTTAATGTTGGCACAGTTTTAAATCCAGTGAAAGTCAACAAAAACGAAGCTGTGATATTAGGATTTGGGGTCAAAGGTAAAAATATTTTTATTTTGATGTATTTCATTGTCAGTCGATTATGTTAGATGCCATCTTATATACAGGGTGTCCTTAGAGTTGGGACTTTCTTTTACACGGCATATCGATCTTGCAGTTTTCTCTAGTAACGTACACCCAAAGTCTAAGATTACAGATCAAACGTGAACACGTTCGATGCGCATCAGAATTGATTCCAGCCGCTGGCCGCGTTGGTAAACAAAACCTTTACGCATTGGTTCTAAAAAAACAAAACAAAAATGATACACTCATACAGCAATGTCGGTGTTGCCTATATTATTTTAACTTACGGTGAGTGCCTTCGAAATACTCCCGATTCTTCGCGAATGCTTGCAGATCGTTAACTTGTGTATAGTTCTTTTCACGGTTTTTGGTGGTTACGTCACAATATTATATGACATTAGCAAACGGACTAGCTGTACCATATTCGGAGCTTAACTTCCTTATACTCACTATAACAAGTAAGCAATATAAAAGCTTAACTATATTCATGTCTTATAATTCACGACCACAGCCTCCAATCACTTGTAACTATCAGCAATAATTGTCCCCATATGACTATTGAAGCAATTCCTACTCTTAAAGGTGACAACTAAATCCTTGACTTCGCGTAAGCAATTGAGAGGCGGTCAACCAATATCATAACCAAATACGATTGTTTGCGTTTTTTTTGGTGTAACTGACCACATTACACTTCACAACATTTAAAGGCAAGCTATTTATGCGACATCAGCTATCAAGCATTTTGATGTTATACTGTAACTTTCCACAATCATCAAGTGACCAAATAGAACAAAGAAGCATCAGATCGTCAACTTACTTGTGTAGGTGAAACTGGACACCCAACTAGCAAAGTAGTGCTATAAGCTTTTAGTAAAAGAACCGTTCAGCCATAAAAGCTCTCTATTGTTGTTGCCTGAACACCAAAATGCTGGCTTAATGTTGTGTGGAATGCAAATTTGCTTTCTGCAACATATTTGCTCTAAAATGAGGTGTTTTAAATATTCTTATAGCATAGTTACACAACACCTTATAGGACAAATTTTTAACTGTTGCATCAACGTTTATACAACTATTTTGTACGGCATATTTGCAGGTTAGTCAAAATGGTTATGTTGTGGCATCCATGGTAACGTTTCTAAAACAAACCCGAGCCTTGTTGTTTTGCTGTGCAAATATACTACTTTAGCCAACAAATTGCTCCCGATGGAAGCACTTATACAACTGTTGTTTAGTAATTGTTAAAGGCTGTACATATGCTAAATATGTTGGTATACAACTTCACCGTAACCTAACTTTCTGCTGCCGCATTTTTGTTAATTTGCCGTAACCAATGGTTTAAGACAAACAACGCATGCATATTGGTTGACAAGGTTTTATCAACTGTTCAACAGAAGATATAGATCCGGTACAAATTCTAGGTAAATCATTCGACTCTGTCGGTATTTCATTCCTGACATTTGTCAAATTGTTGTATAACACCTGCAGGCAACACCAAAATATTTTAATAAACTAAAGACAACATGGACGATGGCATGATTATACACAACCACTCGCCATATTGGGCAAACATTTATTCCTCTATTTGATATTAAATAATTACGTTTCAGTTCGGAATTACAGATATAAAGTGATAAACATTAGTGTAATTGTGTCTAAATATAGGATTTGTGGAAGATCTAACGCAGATAAGTTCAGTTTTCCATCTTCAAAATCTAGACATACTTTTGATCATTATCAAAATATGAATCAATTACGAAGCCCGTAGAAATTGCGTAACTACTTTGCTCGATAATCACAATAAAATTTGCTGCGCAAATAATCCAATAGCCCTATATCACAGTGTAGAAGTTTATCATATACCTGTGTATGACATTCACAATGGCCGATATGTAAGTAAACAAGATGGCTGTAATGTGTTATGTAGTTATATATTCTTCACTTCGTCTATACAATACATAAGAAATAGATTTGTTGCAATAAAGTAGAATCACGTAACAGAATAGTTGTATAGTTGACAAAAACTGAATCTTGCACCGATGCAAATGTCCTATAGCGGCTGCAAGAGGCTTACACTTTTGTTGTATAACTGTTACCTGCAGCCCTTATACAACCTCTTAAATGACTGAAGTGTCCTATTAGGTGTGCCCATTCCGCTTGTATAGCTGTTCTAAGAGGGTTTTGCCAATGTTCTTACAGTATACAATGCTGTGTAAGGAATACTGTATAATCATTCTTGCAAGTCTAATAGGAGTGATAATTGTTAGTTGGGCATCTAATTGGATATATATGGTTTATAAACGTAATGAAAAATAATGGCCCCAAGACAGACCCTTGAGGGACACCAGACGTAATCGTATAACTGGTAAATCTGAAGCTGTTGTGAATTACGTATGTCACTCGCTCAGATAGAGAGGATTTTTTAAGCAAATGGAAGTGACCCATTATGCCAAAGTTAGATAATTTGTCAAGAAGTCAGTATAAACGTTATCAATCTATACAGGGTTATCCAAATTGAGTGTCCACCATTAGTAACTTTGTTATTAGTGAAAATACAAAGTTGTTTGAATTAGCAAACTAGTAGCATTTTTAACGCTGGTAAAAATGAGAAATAAAAAAAAAACAATTGAGAGTCGTTATTTTGATTTTTTTCAGTAAAATAACATTTTTTTAAATGGAAACCCCTGTATATTATATTTTTTTCTGTTAAAGCATCAAATTTTAAACAAAAAAGTTCATAGTGACTTTTCCGCTAAAGTCAAAAATAAAGTCAAAATAACGATAAATATTTTTAATTATTTGCAGTATTATAATATTAAGACGGCTATGAAAACAACATGGCGTTCGCGATTTGACAGCATTAAGATAAGCGACAAATTGTTAAACTGGACATACTCGCAACTAGAAGGCTTTGGAAAACAATGATAAAATCAAATAATGTCAAACATTAGTGTAAATACTTGTTTATAAGCTTTATTGTGTCATTAATTTAAAGAAAAATGTTCTCCCATGAAGAAAAGTGTGATATGTTAGAATGCTATTTAGTGTGCAGAAAATACTCCTTGAGAAGCAAGAGAATACTACAGTGAATTATATCCCGCTCGCATTCAACCGTATGAACGATATTTTCTGAGACTTTATCGAAAATTTAGGGGCAACGAAAATGTTTTTGCTAAAACAAGGGCAAAAAAAGAATTCATAATAAGCGAGGCCACGGAAATTGCAGTTATTGGATATTTTGAAGCTTATCGTGAGAATTCAATAGCAGATATTTTCAAGGACTCTAATTTCAGTTATGGTACTGTTCAAAGGATTTTAAAAAAATACAAATTTATTCCGTATAAGTACCGACCAGTTCAAACGCTTTTGGCAGGGGATCCAGACAGAAGACTTGTTTTTTGCCATTGGTATCTTAGCTTCTGTCGCCAAAATGTAAATAACTTTCGTTACCTTTTATGGACAGATGAATCCAATTTTTCAAATTCTGGAATGTTTAATAGAAAAAACCACCATTATTGGTCAAGAGAAAATCTTTTGTTAGTACATCCAAGAGGCCCACAAGTCCGTTTCAGTTTCAACGTTTGGTGCGGTATAATTGGTTCAAAAATTGTTGGCCCGTTCTTTTACGAGGAAACCCTAACTGGTGAAAGATATGTGGAATTTATGTCAGAAATTCTGACTAATTTCTTAGACGAATTGAATCTTATAAGTAGACATCATCTGCATTTTCAGCAAGATGGCGCACCTGCCCACAACTCCAGAGGTACTTATCATTTTCTAAGTACTACTTTTAATGATCAGTGGATAGGAACAAATGGCCCAATACAGTGGCCTCCCAGATCACCAGATCTAAACCCACTTGATTACTTCTTGTGGGGTTACTTAAAGAACCAAATTTACAAGCGAAGGTACGATAACCTTGACGCGTTAAAGACTGCAGTTAGGGAAAAGATAACCCAGATAGATGGTAGGACCATACTTAAGACAGTTCGAGCAGTTGAAAAACGTGCCCAAAAATGTATTGAAGAACAAGGTGGTGTTTTCGAGCATCTTCTTTAAAAAAAATTGTTATTGTATTTTGTAAGATTATAAATTGATGTTGAAAATAAAGTTTGTCGATACAATTTAATTGTTTCAGATTGGAGGCCATAACTTCAACAATTTGTAACCTAGGAGAAAAGTTATTGTAAGCTTTTTTGTTTAAAATTTGATGCTTTAACAGAAAAAAATATAATATACAGGGGTTTCCATTTAAAAAAATGTTATTTTACTGAAAAAAATCAAAATAACGACTATCAATTGTTTTTTTTTATTTCTCATTTTTACCAGCGTTAAAAATGCTACTAGTTTGCTAATTCAAACAACTTTGTATTTTCACTAATAACAAAGTTACTAATGGTGGACACTTAATTTGGATAACCCTGTATTTTTAGATATACACTGTACAGGACAGAATAAGTTTGTAACTGTTGATCGCTTTTTCATGAAACCAAGCTGTTGAGTTATTAAAGTATTATGCACATGCCAATAAATTGCATCATAAATAAGAAACTTATTATTACTAGTCCTGTAGTTTTTTCTAACCTTAGATCATACTCCCTAGTATCTAGTTTGAAATAAGATGGATATTAAGATAACCCATACTGATCGATACCGATTTCCAGTGAAGAATTACTGCGGATTCAAAATCATAGTAGGTGAATCATTGCAGAGCGTATTGAAAAGATACACCTGGGCTGACGTTACACAGGTTCTCTCCGTATATAGAGACAAAAATTATTTATTGCTTGTCGATCTAGAGAAACGGAAAGTATATGTTTCAATGTTGAAAGGCGAAACTGTTGAACAACTGGTAGCAGCATACTTCCATGCTGTTTGCCTAGCTGTTGCAACTTCCATATACAACGGCGTTAACCTGGTAAGTGTGTGACTTTCGATTTTTTTGTAAAAAGTCTTGATTTAACTCTGAGACCACTCTAAACATTATCGGAATGAAAATTTCTGAGTTAGTGTAATATACTAGGCGTTAGAATCAGCTCCGAAAACTGCTTTACTTCGCGGTGACCTTAAATGTTTCCTTCAGGATTTCGGGATTATTAATTATTAAGGGCCGTTTTCTGCCAGACACCACACCTGGACACCTTTAGAGATGTAAAAAACTTAGACCCACCTCTGTTTAAAGCGACATATTCGTACATCCTCGTACAATTAAATCTTAATAACAAAGAGAGCTAGGGCAGCGTCAACACATAGATGTCCGCGGAGGTGACTGAACGGTATATTATAATAAAGTAAGATTAAAGTAAAACTGAGATGTAAGACAAAAACACGAGAAATTTTTACGAAATTGTACGTTAAAGTCATAGTAAAAACTGTACAAAGATGTCCCCAACATACGCTCTCTTAAAAGCTAGTTAATTGAGTGCACTTTTAAAGCTGTCTTGTAGCATTTTATATGCTCTTATTGCCATTGTTATTCATGAAATATCTGGAAGCATCGGGAAGGTTACTTAAAAGCTACTCCCATGGTTTCAAAGGTCATATTATCGGCGTATTGATGATTGAAGTCGGGAGACACTCCCAGAGCAATGGGACGCTAATTTTGGCGCCTACTGTATATTTTTTGGCGATCTTAATGTGTGTTTTTTATCGGTAGGATATTTACTCAAAAAGGCAACTACGCCATCCAACTCCCATAACAAGGATATATACGTTTATGAAGTCCTATGAAAGAGCTACACGTTACAGTAACATTCCAATCAACCAATTATTAGATTTTAATGATTTCGTGAAACAAGAGTATGCTATGTTTGATACTGCCTTACGTATAAACGGTAAGTTCACATGACATATAACAAATACCAATCTTATACGACTAGAGCATTATAGGAAGTGTAAATGACAACACTGCCTCAGTGCTGTCCACTCACACACGGATAATTATCGGTATGGGAAAGCATCAAATCAGTGTTGCCATTTACACATAATACTTGAAATGTATACCTGCCACTTGGACATTCCAAGGGTGAGTGGTGAGCTTACGTTCGGAGTTTTTAGCACCCGAAGGATCCATAATCATTTTTTAGGACATTTTTACGACCTTTTTTTAAATAATAGATTATAGACCCAAAGTGGCCTGTTGGACCGCCACCGCGGACAAGCAGTACTTCTTGACGGTTGTGTCATTTGAACCGGACGTTGTATTTTAAGGGCAACATTTTATGGATCAAGCATTTCTCATGGACCCGTCCTGTAATACTGGAATGTGTGAAATTCGCCTTACAGCATCCAGTATATCTGTTTGTATTTTATTTTATTTGCTATTTAGTGGCAAAAATTACGTAACGAAAACACCATTCGAAAGGCCGCTCCACACTAACGCGAGAATCTCGGCAAGAACCTCAGCGAAAATCTCGGCGAGAACTTATTTGAGTCCACACTCGCAAGGTTTTCAATACAGTTGTCGTGCTCGATGATGATGGACGCAGAATTGAATGTCGTCGACAGCAGCACCAGATTTTTCCGATTTCTTCACTTTATTCTTATACCCTCTGTAACTGGATAATAACCATTTTTTTTTGTTTTTTAATTCCCCAATGGGAAATTCCATCAAGGTACTAATACGTTTCCGAGCATCGTGGGGTTTTAGTTTAATTTTATATTCTTTTTATTACTCCACACTTGCAACTAATTTATGTCAAATGTACCACCATGTCGAATGGACTGATAGCTTTCGCGTCGTTGATTGTCACGACTGTGACTGACTGCTTCCGCCATCTGGTCGGGTATTTATCTTCAATCGATGAATTCCAGAGGTCTTCCATACCGCTTCATTGAAGATAAATAGCAGATTTATCTCTCCAGACTGTTGAATATTCGTAATGGCGTTGGGTAATTCTGGTTGCATAAGCGTCGATGTTGCGAAGGCGTTTCCTCGTTACTCAATGTCCCAGTTATTAGAGCGTTACAATTATAATATCCGATAACATTGATGTAATATTGGTTTAATTTTTTAATGTTACCGGTTTCAGGATGGAGTTTAGCTTCACATTCTTTGACGGTAGGTGAATGGAGAAGCGATTGGGAATCGCAATTCAAAAAGGATAGGTGATATGATTGAAAATCTAAATGTAACCGTATTGTCTTTCTGTAACGAATAAAGTGTATTTTCACTAAGTATTGAAGGTTTTTAATTATATCATCTGCATTTGCGAATTGGGGAATAATGTGTATAAAGCAAAAGCTATTTTTGCGTATATGCACTTCATATCTAAAGCAGAAAGTCATAAATGAACAGCTTCAGACAAAAGTAGTAGGCTTGCAAGGGGCAAAATCAGGATGGTCTTGAAATGACCTTGATTGCGACATTCAAGGTCCTTTCAAGGTCAAGTGGATATTTTCAAATAGAACCTCCCTTTTTCACATCGGAAAAGAGGGGCAAACTTCACGCCCGAACATCATCGTATGGCCATGACCTTGACCAATGCCATCAAGATCACAATAAGAAATCGTAAACAATTTGCAAGTTGGCATTGACTAAAAATTTCCAAAGGAAACTCCTCATATTTATACTGGAAAATTTTACGTTCGGATGTAACCTTGTCCTCAAGTAACATTTTAACTAGACACGACTCCGAGTTCAAGGTCACATCCAGACGTAAAATATCCTTTTTTCATTTCGAGTAAAACAAAGAGTTTTTCGAAGTTTTCTCTTGACCTTGAACGCCAAGGTCACCTTTGGATGATTCCCACACACCTTACCACTGTACTGTCGAACATTTTTACTACGACAAATTGTTTTCAATTTCTCTATTTGACCTTGAATTGTCAAAGTCGTGACCAACATGATCCAAGGATGTGAAATTTGATCCTCTTTTTAATTCCGATGTGAAAAAGGAGGGATTCTATTTAGCAATATTCACTTGAACTTGAGATGAGCTTGATGTGTTAGTCAAGGTCATTGTCCAGCTTACCGTCAATTTGACCTCTAGAAACGCTACAACTTTTGTTTGAAACTGCATATTCAGACGGGGAGACTGAAATGGGACAGCATGGGTATGGTGCTGTCTCATCCTCATTAGGAACCATCTGCACGGTATAAGATGGTATAGGGCACACAAGTAATTGCTGATGACGATAAAGTGGCAAAGTACGTGGCCGGTTCTAGAAGCAGGTGGTACTTTTGTGCCATTTATCTTCAAAAGCAGAAACACATTCCGAGCTTATAAAAAACTGCAAAATAACAGAAATCATATATATTTTAAAATAACAATTAATACAAATCACACATAACACAGACATGATATCACTTTTCAAAACAATATAAATAAATAATTCGTTAATTGTAATATTCGCTAGAATTTGAGCTATCGTAGAATCATCGGTAGGTCAGTTTTTTAGTGTTGCGTGGCCGTTCAGCTCCATTTCTCGTCTGATCTGCAGTTGGTGCATATACGATAGGAAACAGCACCACACCAAACTGCAGGCGCTCACTACTGGAACTCTGTTCTTCTCTGGTACGTAGCAGAAGTTTAGAGTTTGCATTGGTGGCCAAAAACATATTCCTACCTAAAAATAAGGAAACAACTTGCTTTAGTTATATAGATATTTAAATAAAACGCGAAATAGTCGAGGGCAGACGTTTCTTAGCTATGCGTCTTGACGTATTTCAGTGTCGACCTCAATATATTTTTCAGTTTGAACTGATACAACATTTGACTGTATCGGCGTCCCATTCTAGCATCAAAATACAATAACATAGTTTTTAACATTCCATATCAGTACGCTATGTAATCAAAACTTTGCGATCAGCTCTTGGACTATTACTGGTATACAAATAAAAACAGCTATGTTGGTTTGGCGATTTGCTTATAGATGGCTCTGCATTATCAGAGGCGGTGTTGCCAAACTACCATGTAATGTTAAGAAAACGCTATATTTATTCGGAGCTTAATGCAGATCAATTCTTTTCACGGTTTTTGATGTTGTAAAGTTAAATAGATATGTGATAACTTACAGGTTTTGAGAGCAACTCCTCTCGAGAAAAGTGTGAAACTTATTGAAAGAGAAATAAATTGCAAACAAAATATTTACGTTAAAAAATCAATTTTTGTTTCCAGGCAAAATTATATCATACGTCACTTTGCAATATACCATGTAATTTTCCACACTCTGGCGCTTTAAAAAAACGTAGAGGGGTGCACACACCCCGTATGCTGGAGATTTGTTATATTTCAATAGAGTCTTAGGGATATATTAGATCAACATTCAAACAAAATGCAGAAAATCATACTTTTCTGGGACGCGTCCTTTTTGTTCCACTTGTTTCATTTTCAGTTCGTGCATGTACGATAAAAAGCAAGTCCACATCAAGCTGCAAATGCTTAACACAGGCACTCTGTTCTTTTCTGGCACGTAGTTGAAGTTTGCAGTTTGCAATATGGGCCATACGCAAACTCCTACCTAAAATAGAGGGTTAGAGCCAAGAAAAATCAAACTGTTAGTAGTTCGGTTAATCTAAAATCTCTATTAATACAATTAGAAAGTCAAAATGCAAGCACGATGCAAGTTTCGATAGTATATACCTTCCAAGTTGGCAAGAATTTGGCCTCCACTTCCTTTCTGGCTTCTGATACTGATTTACCTTCGAGTAAGCTCATACCGAAAAAGAAACAAATTAAAGCTGCGGGGCCGTATGTTAGCTGTTCCACTAAGGCCTAAAAAAATGCATGGGTCAAGCTAGTTACTATATTACGAATATTACTTCATTTATTTGTAAGGCATATCTCAGGAGGCTGGGCCTCGGAAGTTACAAGACTCCATGTTCGGGATAGTTGCAAGAAAGATCCAAATATGCAGATTTTCCCACATCTCCGCTTATATACATAGCCAGTTTTAGCACTTAAGGTTGTAAATAGATTGTTCACATTACTAGATACCTACTTTTGGTGATTGGGAATTTCGACAATAAAATATACGAAGTATATATATATATATATATTTTCCGCCTTTTGTTGGGTACTTCGACAATATTTAAGCAAAGAGGACTCTTTATACTTTTTTAATTCTCTCTAGCTTTCAATGGACTTTGCCATCATCATCAGGAGCTGCAATTACAATGATAACAGTAGCAACAAAAGTGTAAAATGAATTTAAATTGACTCAACTTACAGTAGTATGTGAGGATGTTGCTAATTGTTGTTTACGTATAGGATGAGGGAAACGTCCAGTAACATGGTGAGAGCTGGATAGATGGTACAATGGTCAAAATTATATAAAATATGACAAGAACAAGTTAAAAACAGATTAAAAATTATTTAAAAGGACATTAGAGCATTACATCGAGAAGCCACTTGATGATTGCTCAAAATGGTGGTCATGGAATAATGAGTGAGATGAACCCTTTGACAGAAGGCCGAAGGTTGTCAATGTCTGTGTTGAAAGATGGAACGAATTGTGGGCGTGTGTCAATGTGCCAACGTTGCCAAATCACTTCAGATGATGTGATTTTCAGAATGTTATGTAAGAAATTGTTAAACCGACCAGAGGCAGTTGAATAAACTATATTTTAATTAATGGGAATTTAAATTAACAATTATTAATAAATCGTGAGAAATTATTAGATTTTGAGTGGAATGAAATTTACTGGTGGAATCGGCAAAACACAGATTCTATTTATGGTTGTGAAGAGTCGAAATTTGGGGAGATATGTAAGTTCTCCAATTTTTCGCAATTTAGCAAATATGAGTAAATGACACTCAGTTGTTTAACATCTGTCTTTTTGTTGATACAGTTGTTATTCATGAAAATGTGGGACATTTCCAGGAATAAACGTTTGAAAAGGTGTTTTTCTCTATCAAGAACTTTGATACTTGTGTAATTCATTATTCCATGACCACCATTTTGTGCAATCATCAAGTGGCTTCACGATGTAATGCTCTAATGTTTTTTAAATAATTTTTAATGTTTTTAACTTGTTCTTGTCATATTTTATATAATTTTGACCATTGTACCATCTATCCAGCTCTCACCATGTTACTGGACGTTTCCCTCATCCTATACGTAAACAACAATTAGCAACATCCTCACATACTACTGTAAGTTGAGTCAATTTAAATTCATTTTACACTTTTGTTGCTACTGTTATCATTGTAATTGCAGCTCCTGATGATGATGGCAAAGTCCATTGAAAGCTAGAGAGAATTAAAAAAGTATAAAGAGTCCTCTTTGCTTAAATATTGTCGAAGTACCCAACAAAAGGCGGAAGCTTTAATTTTTCACATAACTGGTCTAGACGACAATGACCACGTCTCAAAAAATATATATATATACACAAATGTTTATTAGAAAATTATTATAGTTCATATGGTATTTATTGATTACGATATAACTCATCAGTGTACCGTAAATCAAACATGGATGTTTCATTGTCTTTTAAAATGATATGGTGCTTGAAGTTCTAAAAAGTAGAGATGATTAACAAAGTCAAAAACTGTTTATTACATCCCTATCAGACTTGAAATGTAGCATTAGCAGCCATTTTGCTTGTAAAAAATCACATTAAAATACTGCTCTGTCTACCTGGCGTTGACGGATCCGTCAGAATTGCATGTCACTTGTCAATATGGGGAATTTTGAAATATCACTAGAAAATCTGTTATTCCATCGTAACGAATACTATTGAAAAATACAGTAAAATGATTACCTTTGTGATGGAAGTTCGCAAGTTGGTCGTAGGCCATATGATGGACGATACCCTGATCCATCCATACAGTGTCGGCGCAGTGAAAAGGGCTCCGTATAAGCTAAATCTCAGCGCGTGCATCCAGTCATAGTTCTCCCATGTTTTACCAGCAATTGTTTGTTGGATGATACAAGATGTCGGCCATATTGTTCCGTAGGATAGCATACCTCTTATCACAGGGTGGCGATTCGTGAACGCGACGAATCGAGATAATACTGCTACCATCTTTGGATCGTTCAGATGGGGCTACAAAAAATGAGGTGTGTTAGTATAACACTGCAGATTTCTTTGTAGTTTCATGCTCGAGTTGCGTCGGACGTCAAATTCACAGGTTTTTTAAGAACATACTGTTAAATATTGAACCTAAAAATTTAAAATAAAAGTGGCCAAGAGAAATTGCTGGAAATTATTTTTAGATCCTAAAATGACCGCTGGG